TTTGGAAAGAATCGGAATAATTCTATTTTTTCACTCTTGGTTGACAGTGGTCGTGTGTTAGATAACACTAAATCATTTTGATTGATCTGCCATATACCTTCACTGTTTCCCAATGGGGTAAGACTGTTTCTCATATTTATCAAAAGCCATATATATTCGAACGTAAAACCCCAGTCTGTGTTCAGAAGAAATCTATAATACCACTGGCTTTTCCTTAGCTGGATAAGGTTAAAAAAAATCGTACCAATTTCTTCACACTCTCTGTTTATTTAGCAATAAATATAAAAATTGCATTTTAAACAATTTCAGCAACTGAAATTCAAGTAATTTCAATGTTTTGCATGGCAAACTGGTTCAGAGGAATAGTCAAAATCAACAATACCAGAGGCCGTGTAAGGTTTAATAATAAAATCACACTGAAAGCCTGTTCACACATGTTAATTTTGTTCATAGTAAGTTTGTGAGACAGTTTGATACGAAACGGCGTTCGATTCTTCCTGATTAATAATGAGATGCTGGTTGCCTAGGTCAAACTATCGGTGGTTTTATTGTCTATACAATTGACTCACTCTATACGAGATACCTAGCCAGGAACTATTCTACCACATGTCAACGCAACTCAAATCAAGAACACATAATTCGCTTGACTATTACATATATTAAACAGTAATCACGAGAATATAATGGGTAGGAGAATGTATATGGCGTATCAGGTATGTGTGACTATATACTAATATGTCTGTAATCAACAGTCAACCGCTATCTTCTTTCGCCTGTGTAACAGTATTTTAAAGTAAACCCTGATGAAGATCTAATTGGGAACAATGTTGTTTCGCTTGTGTTATTCTAACCTACACGATGAGAATTTTTGATATCTCTACTGTTTCATACATTTGACATAAGTTCAGAGATAGTTCATTCTTAACTTTAAAGTCATCTCATCGATAATCTGAACAACAACTTGGATTCAAGTTCTCACAGAAACATTTAATTTCTATCAAGTGTGATAGATTCATGATTAGTGGTTCTCAGGAATATAAAGTCCAGTTTCAAAATAACATCTATTAGTCAAAAAGTACTGGGTAGCGAGTATGACTCTCTAGCCAAGTTGACGCGATGTTAACACCATACAGTTGTTAATGGCTTTTAATTATTCGTGAATTTTTTTTACACAAGTGGTATGACCTTAACTTCATTCAACTTAAAAAGCAGATCAAACACGGTCGTTCCCAAAATTTCATGACTATATTTAGTGAATTGTTTTTACCCATTTATATCATTCTTACTACAAACTTTGAATCATACTGACTGTTGGTCCGATTTGTATAAAAAGCTAATGTATGGAATACACTGGAAATATCTTATTATTATTTTTTGTTAAGCCGAGTTTACTGAATATGTTCCAGTCACAAACCAATGGAGAACATAAGACTACTCTATTTTGCTTTCGATAAGTATATTTGAACGTCGTAAGGATAGTTAGCAAATAGGTATTAATGCCAAGGTTGGCCATTATAGTTTCAAATAAATTGAGCATTGGGCAGAAAGTTAATAGTAAATATATTTTGTTGTTATATCACAATGAACCGAAAAATTGTATTTCTAATGTTTCGTGACTTAGTGTATGCCACTTCTTCAGGGTAGAAGTGGTTACATTAAGTCATGAAACGTCAGAAATACAACTTTTCTACTCATTAGAATATGACTAAAAAATACATATATTATTAACAGGGTACAATGAATCTTGCTCTCATAGGATGAATCTTAGTTTCAGAGTTTAAGGTTTTTACAGAATCGTTAATATTCTGTAGTAAATACTGAAATACCGCCATAGCTTTTCAAATTAATTCATAAAAAAACTAAGATGTGACGGCGTTCTATAATTTAATGATGAACTTATTGGGAAAAAGGAGAAATCTCATTTAGTAGGCATGTACCTATATAGATGATCATTTGGATAACACTGCATATAAGCAAATAATACGTGAATAATAGTAGCGCTGTAGCTAAATCTCAACTTTAATGTATCCTGTAAAAACAATAATGTTTTCTTCATAACTTCACGAAGAAGCCCTAAACGTATATATATTACAAGTTTCTAATCTTTTATAGTTTTTTTTTATCAACTTGTTGAAGCAGACCTCAATCACTAAACACAACTGTAAATCGACAGAATTATCGGACAACAAGTAATTCAAACAAAAACGCAGCAAGTCCCGTAGCCACGATAAGCTCTTCTCTTGTATTGAATGTCTCCGAGGAATCAAATAAAGTCGATACTACAGATTCTCGTGTTCAAAGTTCAGATGATAACTTACAATCAGTATTATGTACAGCAAACGACATAAACTCACCGTCAGATACCCCTCCAAAACTACCTCCTCGTATGGTGACATCGAACAACTGCAATTTCCTGATATCCAAAAAATCTCTAGCTCCTGAAAAAGTAGGTTTACCATTATGATAGATAAGCGTAAAGAAGATAGTCATTGTACGTAACTAATGGTTCTTTGTTTGCTAATTTTTAAACTGGCCATATCGTTAAGTAAAAAAATCTATGGTATGTTTCAGGTTCACTAAGTGTAATAAATATGCATAGATCCAAATATTATTATAAAGAATTATGATGTATGATATACGTATATTCTTGTAATGTCATCGCCTTCTGTGACTTGAATGGTTCAGTTGTATGGCTTTCATTATCATTCTAACCAACATGATTAGTATCAAATTTAAAAAGGCGAGTTGTTACAACACATTTGTGAGTGTTCTGTAGATTTATTCTAATGATCGAAATTGGGATATTACGATGCACACTTGTACTCTATTTGAATGTCTTAGTATATCGATATGTGGTTTGATGTTTATTGATGCGACCTGTTTTTTGAGAGAAACTTTCAACATTCGTATCATAAATATCCAAAAAACATATGAAAGCTAAATAGTGAAAATGAGGATGAGAGATGAATAACAACAACTTAATCAATCCCCATGCTAATTCTTATATGAGCATTTGTTTAATTTACAAATAAAGACGCATTGAAAGCTTTATTATATAATATCTCAATTTGTGAATTAGATGCCTTCACTAACTATCGTTCATTTAGATCTAAGAGAAATTATCTGAGTAATATAATTTTTGTTTAAATTGGCTTGAAAAAGGAAACGTTTTTCTTTTAATGTCGTGAGTTGATAAATAATGATCATTTGATACACATAGTTCCCTTTATTATTTTAAAATGAGTAAGAACAAAGATTGGTGCAGAATAATATGAATTCATTTTATTTCGTTAGGTTCTCATCAGCTGCTTACAACCTAAATTATTTGAAATTCAACATTATTACAGATATTGACATACTTATACATAAGAGTGTGATTAAGGATGAATACATGTGTATGATGATGTAGAAAATATTCATATAGATTTAATGAGCTCATAAAATGTTTGATTCGAATAAATAAATAAAGTTAGAGAGGGAAAGTTCTGGAACATTGAAATAGTGATTAGAACTCATGAAAATAGATTAATGGTAATAAAGAAAATATGAATTGAAATCAATCATTTATGTATGATGTAATTTAGAAGAGTTGGAGTAATGACGCAACAAATAAACAAATAGAAATAAATGAATAAAACGGATTATTGTTATCAGGGTAAAGAAAGATTTATTGCTGTCTCTTTATGTATGCATAGATCTGGTTTTAGACGTTTGATTGCTATTGCTTCCAATCAAACTCTTTCATGTAAGTAATTTAAACCCACTAATTATGATTTTAAATATCACAGGTTGTTAGCAGCTGACGAGAACCAACGAAATAAAAATGAATTCATGCTATTCTGCTAGAATGTTTGTTCTTGCTCTTTTCAAAATCCATTTAATCTTAAACTTTTCGGTATATGTTCTTTGAATCCGATGTAGGCTGTCCTTTCTGTTTTACCGATGTAACTGTTTTGGCAGATACATGCAAATTTGTATATACAGTTGGTGGTAACATGAAAGGGATACCTGTCAACCTTTGATTGTGTCAAATAACATGTTGTTTTGGACAGGACAATCAATTTTGCTGCAGGATAAGTTCTTGTCAGTGCAGTTTTTAGTCTCATATTGATTGATCCTGTGACATCGTCACCTTCGAATTGAAGTTGAATAAAAATAGGCTTTTTATTTGCTGTAATTTCTCTGGGTATTTTATCTTCACGTTTGCCATATTTCTCAATAAATTTCAGTGGGTATCCATCATTCTTCAAACATTTTGTGGCATTCATAACTTCTAGTGTGTCGGAAGTACATATTCTTTCTGTTCTGTGAAACAGAACAAACAATCAAACTCCAACCTTTTGAAATTTTCCGAAGCAATAGCAATCAAACGTCTAAAACCAGATCTATGCATACATAAAGAGACAGCAATAAATCTTTCTTTACCCTGATAACAATAATCCGTTTTATTCATTTATTTCTATTTGTTTATTTGTTGCGTCATTACTCCAACTCTTCTAAATTACATCATACATAAATGATTGATTTCAATTCATATTTTCTTTATTACCATTAATCTATTTTCATGAGTTCTAATCACTATTTCAATGTTCCAGAACTTTCACTCTCTAACTTTATTTATTTATTCGAATCAAACATTTTATGAGCTCATTAAATCTATATGAATATTTTCTACATCATCATACACATGTATTCATCCTTAATCACACTCTTATGTATAAGTATGTCAATATCCGTAATAATCTTGAATTTTAAATATTTTAGGTTGTAAGCAGCTGATGAGAACCTAACGAAATAAAATGAATTCATATTATTCTGCACCAATCTTTGTTCTTGCTCTCTTTAAAATGATAATTTGGTTGTAAATCCCTTTAGTCTTAAAGAGAAATAATAATACTTCCAGTAAAATTTCCACTAGAATGCGGTATTGTTCAGATGGATAATAGTATCTGTCTACAGCGATTTCATTGCACTCCATTTTTATGGCAATCATAGATTATAGTCGGATAACTTGCGCTGATAAATTTAGATTGGTTTAGACCATGAAAAAGACAGTGTTACTGCTTCCTACACATTAGAGAACATTAAAATCAGATTTTGGATGTCACCCCAGTCTAACTTTTAAATTTCTGATTTTTAGGTTGAAAAATTTAGCACACCACACATGAATACCCCTACAGAACAACAGCAACAGGATGAAATTGGAACAGATGATTTTTGTAGTCGATCGGCTAGTCCCTTTGTAAATCAACCAATAAAAACTTATTTCTCAAATTCAACGGAACCTGTTATTCCTATAAAACTTGATAATGATGGTAATACGGAAAAACCGACATATCCTTCAACGAAACTATCAACACAAGTCCAAGAACCTGAAGTAACAAAAGAATCTATGGATTCATCCCATGAACAGCATACATTTCGAATAGTAAAACCAGTTAATCCAGCTGTTTATCGACGGTTTATGGAACAAAGAATGGCAGATATTGGTAGAATACACCGCGAACGTAAGGAAAGACGTGATCGTCTTGAATCCGAAATGTCTAAAGTTGGTTTAGATGAAAATGCTCGTGTTCAAATGCGCTGTTTGCTTCGCAAAAAGGAGTCTAATCACATGCGAATGCAACGTGCTAAAATGGACCAATCAATGTTTTACAGGATAAAACATTTAGGTGAGTAGTTATTACAGAAAAGCAGCTGGTTGGAAGTTAAATGAGATTTTCTTTTTCCTTTAAATTTACATTTTATGGTAAACAAAAATTGTTAAAATGGTTAAAATATGAAAAATTAGTGCAGTTTAAAAGAGAAACTTTCCATTTATTCGAACATTATTATCGTATACCTACAAATATATCATTAAATGCGATCTTAAATAAGCTTATCCATTATCTATGAACAAACAGGATGTCTTTTGTTCAGACACTATCTAATTTTTAGATGCGATTTAAAGGTATGTAATATCCTTTTGAACTTCCTATCTCTAACATTTTTTTTAGTTTTCGTTTATTTATTGAATAATAAACAAATTTTCTTACGCCTAATGTGAATAGGAGAATTAATATACATTCGATTTTCTGTAGATGACATTCTTATAGTAAGGGATACAGCATCTTTTCTACAAAATCTAATTGTAGTTGATCAACTATCAAATAAAACTTGAATGATGTCAATCCTAGGTTAGAAGAACTTACAAAGGCCATATTGTAAACTTTTGTAATCGAACATATAACTGTCAGGTTGTGAACTTTATTCTAATTTCCACTTGTCATGGTAAGAACTTTCACATTTAACACTTTTTAACTGCATTTATGACTTCTTAAGTTAACCCGTATGTTATGATTACTATAGAAAATAAAATGTGCCATTCCCTATTCATCAGAGGTTTAATGACATCTTTTTTGTAAGAACCAAAAGTTTTTTAATTATAACTATGAGCATTAGTGCTTGACAAATATATCTAGAAATAAACTTCAATACATTTTATATGTAGTGATTGTTAATTTTCGATGTATAATTTATAATATGAAAGTTTAGTATTGACCTAGAATATTGTGTTTCTGTTCTTCAGTAGTGTTCTCGATATCGCTGTAGCATTTAAAACATTTCCTGAGTTTCATCATTTTACTAAAATCATGAATCAATTGATTTTTTAGAAAAAGTTCCTGCTACCTATTCTCATCCTTTTCCGTTTAATGAAACCAATAGTCTTAATATATCCTTTTCAAAATAAAGCGTTCAATTAATGCAACAACGTCGAATTAATAAGAAATGTAAAGATGTAATAATTCAGTTACAAAATAAAGCCGATAAATCTTATTATAAAGTTGATGTACCTACGAATTCCCGCCCATCTAGTAATCTATTATGAAATAAACAACTCCATTACTATCTTATGTATCTCCCTACTGGACAAAACAATTCTGATGTTCAGTTGAATGGTAAAAACACGTTACTTACGTCTGTTACCCTTCATGGAGAACCATAGGCCGCTTACCAGTATTCTGCATCCAACTCTGTCCTGGGCACTCCTTTTCAGTTGCTATTCATTCTTTTCAGGTCTGCTTCCAATTCCCGACGCACTGTGTTCTTTGGCTTTCCACTTTTTCGTTTCCCTTCAGGATCCAAGTCAGGGCTTGCCTCGTGACGCAGTTTGATGCTTTCGTCAATGTGTATCCTATCCACTTTCAATGTCTGTTCCTAATTTCTTCCTAAGCTGGAAGTTAGTTTGTTCTCTCCCACAGTAGACTGTTGCTGATGATAACTGGCCAACGGACATTGAGTACCTTACGTAGACGATTCCTGACCGTTGTCGCTATCCTGACGTGGTGGTCGGGCTTGACTATCGTTGGAGACTTTGGCTGACATGGCTCAGAATCGATTTATACACTCTCTTTCATCCCTTAAACTATGAGATTAAAATTGCTTCATATCTTTCTTTTTAACAACTAATTCTTTCTTCCTGTACTATATCCTTATATGCAATCTTTCTCTTATACATTACCACCATTGAATTAACTACTTCCATGAATTCGGTGTTCATCTTGTTGTGCTAATGAGGTATGGCAACTTGGATCGATGCATATATGTGCTTGGTTCTACCTTGTAGCTGGCTGACTGATGTAGACAATTATTTATAAATACTTGTACCTTTTGATGATGGTTGTGATAGTTCTCCGAATTTCAGCTTCGTGCAGTAGAACTGTCTTGACGTTCGTATTGAAGATTCTCATTTTGATATTGGTTGACAGTTGTTTCGTGTTTTATGTGTTCTTCAGTCGTAGGAATGCTCCGCTTGCTTTGCCAATCCATGTTTTCATATCTGCATCAGACCCCCCATGTTTATCAATAACGCTCTCAGGTATGTTAAAAGTTTCCACATCTTCCAGAGCATCTCCATCAGTTGTGGTTTGGCTGGTGCTCGCTGTATTCTATTTCTCCGGTACACCACAGTGTCAAAAAAGGTCCCATAGAGTTCTCCTATTCACACTGTCAAACGCCTTGTCATAATCAAGGAAGTTGATGTATAGTGACGAGTTCCGCTCAATTGATTGTTCAAAGATGGTCCTTATTTTCGCGAATTGGTCTGCGCACGACCGATCCTTACGGAACCCGGTCTGTTGACTTCGAAGTTGGGTGTCTACCAAATCCTTGATCCAGTTTAGCAACACTCTGTTGGAAATTCTTCCTGGTACTAATAGTAGTGTGATGGCCCTGTAGTTTCCACATTTGCTCAGATCGCTTTTCTTTTGTATCGTGATGAAATATCCTTCTTTACAGTCCGTTGGCACTTCCCCTTCTTCCCAAATCCTCCTGAATAGAATATGGAGCATGTTTTCAGTTGATTCTGTGTCTAACTTCAGTGCTTCATCTGGTATTCTGTCAGGTCCTGCTACTTTTCCACTCTTGGTTTGTCTGATGGCCATCCTGATTTCTTCGATATTTGGTGGAATGACATCTATACGAAGGTCTGTGTGTGTTGTTTTAATGTCTGGTGGAATCAATTTAGCTGGTCTATTTGAGAGTTTTTCTAGGCGCTATACCCATCTTTTCCTTTGTTCTTGAAACTCAGTGATTTACTTGCCTTCTTTACCTTGACCGGTTTACTATATTTCCCTTTCAGTTTCTTCGTTGTGCCATATAGTTGTTTCGTATTTCCTTCCCTTGCAGTTTTTTCTCTGTCTTTTCCACGTATTTCCGCTTGTCAGCTCTAGTGCTCCTCTTCACTTGCTTGTTTGCTTCTGTGAATTCAGCTTGTGCCTTGATATTCTCTGTTCTTGTTTGGCTGTTGTTAATTACTGTCCTCTTGTCCGTTCTTTCTTCAATCTTGTCTAGAGTTTCGATAGAGATCTATTCCTTATGATGAAACTTTTTGCGGTCCAGAACCTCCTGACACGTTGAAGTTAATGCTTCTTTGATCCCTTTCTGGTTGTCCTCTATAGTAGTTTTTTCTTCTCTCAGTAGATCTTGTAAGGCCCAAAACTTGTTGTTGAGATCTATCTTGAATTCGTTGAATTTGTCAGTATGTCGGAGGAAGGCTCTATTAAACCATTGTAATGCTGTTTCCCCAGTTGCCCAGTGCTTCTTTAGCTTTAGTTTCATCTTGGCAACCACCAGTTGGTGGTGATTAAAAGCTTTGTCAGCTCCTTTCCTGGTTCCCACGTCTTCTATTGGCCTTGTGAATTTTTTACTGATACAAATATGATTTATCTGGTTCTCCGTGTAGCTTTTTAGCTTTGTGTATGTGTTTATGGGTGAATGTTGTCTCACCTATGACCAATTTGCTGAATGCACATAAATTTGCAAATCTTCATTCTCGTTCGTTTCTCCCAGTCAGTCCATGTTGTCCCATGATATCTTCATAACCGTCGTTGTTCATTCCGAATTTGTCGTTTAAGTCTCTCATCAGGATTGTCAGGTTCTCTTCCGGGCATTTCACTATGATCGATTGCAGCCTCTCGTAGAACTGATCTTTACCGTCGTCATTGCTATCATTGTTGGGTGCATAACACTGAATAGCATACATTGTGATCCCCTCCTTCTTAGATTTGAGAGGTGCTTTGATGATTCTGGGTCCATGAGATTTCAATCCTATGAGTGCTTTACGTGCACTTTTGGAAAGCATCAGAGCAACTCCCTGAGTGTATGAAAAATTTTGCTCTACGTGACCGGAGTACAGCAAAATCTCCCCGTACCTGATTTTTGTTGTCCGGCTCGGGTCCAATGGTTATCGCTGATTTCGAGAACCAACAAGTTAAATCTCCTCATTTCGGTTGATATTTGACTGGTCCTCCTGGTATCCTACATTATCCGGACGTTCCATGTACCTATATTAATTGTTGCTCTGGTTATTAGAAGAAGCATCGGCCTCGTGACTTTTGAAAAATCTCGGCTTTCATCATGAGGTGTCGTAATTATCCCTCCAACTCCCAGGACAGAGTATAAATGGTTTAATTTGTTTATTCTGATTGGCGTTTTTTAACAAGGATGTTTTCTACGGGATGGGGTTACTAACCCTATCCCCAACCGTCCTCCTTTGTACGGGTTCGGCACCGGCTTTAGCCCTAGAAGAGCTACAGGCGGGTTATGTAACAACTCGCTTATGCAACAAGGATTCTTCAACAGGTAATTTCTCAATGGTCCAAAGAGCTAAATATCAACACCTTTTGGCTAATCTTTAACTAAAGTCAGTACAGCCATCATGATTGCAATCATTTATGAGTATGAAAAATATACAATTTGTTTTTGACAGATGTATAATGAATATTAACCCTCATCAACAATATTTTTATGACTCCAACGTAGGAACTATGACGGTTAAAAGTGGAGAGTTGTTTTGAACTACCCGTAATGTCTTACTTGTTAACACAGGAATATACATCACTCATGAAAGAGATGAATAATACCTTTAATTTTGACATTATTTAAAACTACACATTTTTACTAATGTACCTAAAGGGTTATTTTTTGCATCTAGGATCATAGGATATTATTTCATACTTAACACTAAATTATGGGCAAATTTTCATGATGGCTAACAGTGGAATGCAGTATGATCTCATCTACGACTCATCATTTGGGTCTACCTGAACGTGGGTCCCATATTCCAGTACTAGCGACTATCAAAGATTTATTAAAATATATATGATTTAGTGGCTGTATCGTGGCAATCCCC